ATCTTTATGTTTGATGTTTGCTGAGGAAAGCCTTTTACTTTACCCTTTTGCTGAAGAAAGCTGTTTGTTCTGTTACCGCTGGATGAAATAAAAACTGTTTATTTATATCGGACTATTTGTTGAAGACGCATGTGTACCCTGGGGGTTCCCCACACTATATAAAAATGAGCTTGACGTCACTAAATTTCTGAGGGTCTTGTCAGCTTATGCTTCCTGTTGCCTGTGTCTCTGTTGGATTACCTATGACCTGTTTGACCCGGTTTGCCTTGGACTACCCTTCTGCTTGCTGCCTGCCTCTGACCTCGGCCTGTCCTCTTGACTTGCTCTTGCCTTCTGATTTTGTGCCACGCTGCCTGACTGGCTCTGAACCTTGGCTTCCTCGACCACGATTCCAGTCTCTCGAGTCTGCTCCTACGCTGCCCGCCCGGTTTGATCTGTGGCCTGCTGACCTCACTTCAAGACTTCTCCAGCACGGTGTCTGCTTACAATCAGTGGCACTCATGCTCCTCACTGTTCTGCAGCCTTCTATTCCAAACTCCAGGGGTTGTAGCACACTAGTCGCAAGAGACCGCTTCTCCTCTTCCGGTCTCTTCGGCATGTATGTGATAGGTAAGTACCGTATATATGGAAATACTTGTTATTGCACATACAGATTTTCAGACACATTGGAAATTGACTGTGATTATATTTAACAGTTGCTGCCATTGCTCCATCTATAAGGGAAAGCTTTTGTCACCACATAAACACCATCATCTGAAAGTTGTCCAGTTGTGGAATAAAAGTTGTGGCAGGTGTTGTCAACGCACCATTCTATATGGACATATCTTCCTTAGATTTTCCTGGCACAGGGTAGCAATTTCACAGCCACAGAGACAATAGTTTATAGTGGATGCAAGCATCAACACTCACTGACACTTTGCTAAGTGTCGGTTGCACCTAAGAAGCCGCATGCTCTATTTTCTATTCAGCATTGAGAAAAGAGTTTGGGATACTGACACGTATGTCTATCAGGTGATGCATTAGCATGATTGCATTTTGCAATCCTAGGTGTAGTTGCAGTTGAGGAGCCCAAATAGATTTTTAAAGATACATACACCCACAATCAATGTCTTAGTAATGGTTGGACACCAGGGGAATGCATGACCTCCTATCTGTCTTTCTCTGACTCCAGCAGTGAGGTCTCTAATACCCCTGCCATTGTCTTTATAAAAGCAAGTAAGGAAGCTGCCCTTCCCCTGCTGCTTTCTCCATAATTTGAATAAACATATACATATCTGCAGATGTAAGAGTCTAGAATAAAACACTGTCACAAATAGTCATGGCAGGTGGGAAAATCCTTGAACACAGATGCAGTGATCTCAACTTCAAAATGCCTTAAAAACACTTACAGCTGATGGTTGATTCAACCTATCAAAATTCTGGATATACTGTAGGAAGTTTAAGAGCCAGCCCACCCAAAACTGATATTTCATGGCCCTTTAACCTTCCTATATTCAGAAATAACCACGCACACTTTGATATCAACTTAAAAATATCAAATAAGCCTGAAATGAACAATGAAACTTTTTAGAATCACAATGTTTGTAACATGCAGGCCCGGATTTCCCACAAGGCCACCGAGGCCAGGCCTCGGGGCGGCAGAGCGCAGAGGGGCGGCATCGGTGACCTTGTGGGGAAGTTGCGGGCGCCGGTGTAAGGTGTCCCGGCGGCGGACCGTAGTGTCCAATCACGACGGAGCG